TTAACAACTCTGAGCTATTAGTTAAGTTCTCCCCAAGCGAGCTCGATGGGCCGAATGGCCTCCTCTCGTTTGTATAGTTCTTATGTTCTTATGTTATGTTCTTAAAACCGCCAGTCATCCATTTTTCTTACATAATCCTTTTTTATACAACTTTGCTGTAGATTATGGAGGTTCCAGTCAGAAACGGGAGACGGGAACATGTCACAGAGTTACCAGGGCAGGAAATTCTGAAGGTGAACGGGGGAGGAAAGTGACGGAGGAGAAGTCCCACAGGGACAAAGGCAGGAGAGGAAACATAAAAGAAAGGAGGAAAGGGATAAAGGAGAAATATGAGGTGGAGGACGAGTGTGACGAAGATGCGCCCAAACGTATGAAGAACAGAGATAATAAAAAGACCAGGAAGAACGAGGAAGGAGAAAAATCCAAGAGGAAGACCAAGATCAAGAATGTGAAGGAAGGAAATGATGGAGAATCTGATGACGTTAAATGGGGACGTTCTAAAAAGAAAGAAAAGGCCAAAAAGAAGAAGGGGAAACAGGAGCTGGTGGAAGAAAGGTGAGGTTGTATCTAAGGCATCGTTTAAGATGGAGATTGGGTCAGGCTCCTGACGCGCCTCCGTCGCTTGTGTAGCTCAGAGTCTGAGAGTTTCTCTGAGGGAGGGGAACTGCCAGAGAAGAAGGAGGGATTCACACAGGAGGAGCTGGAGCAGCTCAAAGAGGCGGTGGATGAAAAACGAAAGCTGATCATCACCCTGAAAGGCAAACCGTGGCCCATGAGAAAGAAGCTCGTGACCCTGAGGTCAGTATCTACTGCTTATGTACAGAATGTTTGCATTAAGGTTTATTTTCTGTGATTTCATGTACCTCAATATAACTCATTATATGGTTATATGAATAATAAACAATGTATAAAACTCTGATTAAAACAATAAAAATGTTTTGGACAAACCACTAAACCGTTATATTAATATATACATCACTTAGTACTTTTAGTGAAAATTAACACAATTTCAGAAAACTCTAAATTGCCTTTTCTTCTTTGTAATATTTTTATCGCGCCCAGTGAAACGAGTCAATTAAACTTCAATGATTTGTGTTTTATTGAGTTTTGAGAATAAATGATGTTTCACAATGAGGCTGTCAGTGTTTGTGTGGTTGTAGGGAGTCACAGCAATTTCTGGAGAAGTACGAAGGGGCCCTCGGCAAAGGGAAAGGAAAGAGGGTTTATGCTTGCAAAGTCATCGTAATGAAGGTGAGACCCACACCCTGCTCTTACGTTAAGCTCAAAGATCACGATAAAGCATTTCCCCTGAGGAGCAACAAAGTATTCTGTTTGATTTATGTGTGTGTCCAGTTAATCTCTAAAGTATTGTTTAGTGATTAATGGATTCTAATGGAATATTCGTTTAATTTTTTTTTCCTTCTGTGAAGTGAAATCGCTTTTGATGATTTAAAAATGATTTAAAGAGAGATACCGATACAGAAAATTTTCATCAATGACATTATGCTGTATGTGTATCAAGTTATGGTAAAATAATATTCATGTATTGCTGAGCTCTACTGAGAAACTAAAATTGATTCTAATTATAAATATTGTCACGTTGAGTAACTCGGCAGTTGGAATGGTTTAATTATGCAACAGTGCCCTCTCCTGGTCATACACTCGCAATTGCATTTATAGAAATGGATGAAGTTTCAGCGGGATCTTGAGAACTTCAAAACTGCTTGTATCCCTTGGGAAATGAAAATAAAAGACATTGAAAGTAAGATTTTGAATAATCATACATGTAGTTCATTTTTATAAAGCAAATTTGCATAAAACTTTATTAGCAATGTTATACATTAGTATAAACAGTAGTGGGATGTGTTTTTGTATCTAGTGTTTGAAATATTTGTCATCAAATACAGTCTTTACTAAAATAAGGAATAGCATTTTTGTATTAATCGACCATTTATGTTTTTGTGTCATGGTGTATTTTTTAGGCCACTTTGGATCGTCGGTTGCCTCCTATTTCATATTTTTACGATGGATGTACGGCATCAACTTGATTTTATTTGGTCTGACATTTGGCCTGGTAATGATGCCCGAGGTAAGGCAGGAAGTGTGTTAGCAGATAGAGTGACATACATATTTTCCAGTATTGTCATTAGGGCCTGTCACATTGATTTATACCATATCCTGGCAACCATATTCAGTGTTCACAGAAAGTCCTGGGATGCTTGCTAAATCCTGCAAAAATCTTGCAGATTTATTGGTTTCATAAGAAAAGTCCATTAACAAGTAATGTTTAACATACATTTAAGTGTCATAAATTTGACTGACTCATCATTTTGATGTCAATTGCAATTGTAGTCACAAAGGGATACTAAACTCAAATATTTGGTATTTTATGCTATTTCAGAGGTACTAATTAATAAGGTACCCAATGCGACTGCTTGTCAATGAACTTTTTAACTCAGCGCAGCTCTTTTAAATCTATAATTTGTCTTTTGGTTTATCACTGCTTGAAATGAATGTTTCACTACAGGTTGTTTCTAATGTGATATCATTTGTGAAATATTGAATAAAGTAATGGCTTTTACAATTAAGAAATTTGCAATAGGTTCTCAATGGGATGTTCCTTGTTGTGATGACTGAGTCCTTCCACCATTTGACTTATATATTTCCTTTAAGCAAATGTATTAAAATAAACTTAACAGAAATGTCCCAAAATTCCACCCCAAAGGTTTAGTCTCAGCATTAAAAGTAAATACAAAGCAGGTAAAACCAGGGGTGTTCAAGGGGCATGGATACCCCATGACACAATCAGGGGGTCCAGCATTTCACAGGGGCCCTTGAATACGTAAAATTATAAAATTATATAATGTAAGGGATGGGGGGTTAAATACTGTCTAAATAATGAATAATAAATATCTTCTAGTGTGGAGGTTTTGTATATTGTCTTTTTGTTGGCATTAAATGTTGAAAAAAGGTGAAGTGATTGAGGTTTGGGTAAACTGAGTGGAAGCTGTGGACCTGCCCAAGGCTCTGATGGGGAAGCCCTACGGCAGCATGCCCAGAAAGACCGTCCCGAGAGGCGAGGAGGGCGGCGCCATGGACTTTGCCGTCCTTTGGGATTTCGGGGTGAGCTCCTCTCACACGGGGGAATATGCAAGAACCATGATGCTTAGTCAACTTTCTTTATAGTCTCTGCTCTCTTCCAATATGTCATGAGTTTGTATAATTTGCATTGATCCTTGCTTTCCGGAGCATGCACGCATACAGATGCTAACAGAGAGTGCTGTCTATCTTTTTGCCCCTCAGGGCTACGCACAATACTCAGTGCTCTTCTATGGATACTACAATAACCAGCGTGCCATTGGCTGGCTGAAGTTCCGGATGCCCCTTTCCTATTTTTTGGTGGGAGTGGGGACAGTGGCATACAGTTATATGGTGGTCATAAGAACGTGAGTGTCCATAAGATGGTGTCCTTCACGGTGCGAGTGTCTGTAAGGTGGCGTCTTTCACGGTGGGAGTGTCTGTAAGGTGGCGTCTTTCACGGTGGGAGTGTCTGTAAGGTGGC